GCAGAATCAGAACCTTGCTTAAATCAGTGTTCTCTTTATTCTGCTTAAGTATCCCTCTGTTAATTTCATTTAAATAACTCCCTATTTAAAAATCTTGAGTAAAAACCTAAAATCAATGAATAATTCTTACTGACCTCAGTGAGGGCAAGATTTCATCATCTCTCTGCAAATCATTCTGACTGTGTGTTGCTTATTACGTGTTTTTTCTTCTCTGATAACTTCCTCCCTAACCATTTTTGTGGGTCTTTCTAGTGTTGCAGCACCTGAAGATAGGAAGGGTTTTAAGATTCAGAGATCTTGATCTGCATGATAAAAATATTTTGTCATGTGCAATTTAATTCAGTGTTGGCAGTTCTCATTATTCTGATTACTTTTTTTTCCTCTCAGTTCTAAGCTTTTGGATCAACCTATTTTATATGAAAAGATGAAGTTTTCATATGCAAAAAGCAAATTTTTAGTTCTCATATTTCAAGAGGAGAACTTGGAAGCATAAATTTTCAGTACTCACTTCCAAGTAAATGAGTCAAATAAAAAAGAAATCCCAAAGCCATACTTCCGAAAAAATTTCACCAAAAACTCCAAACAACAAAAAACCCCAACCAAATTCCTAATTTTTCAGGAAGTGACTCACAGTTTTTGAATTTTTGAGATTATTACTATTATTAAAAGAAGTTAAAAATTATTTCTATTTTAGCTTTTCTCATGTGGGGTTTTATGTTGGTTTGCTTGCGTTTCAAATTACTCTTCTGAAGTTGAAGGTGGAATGTGGTCCTACAGAATTTTTCCTCCTGAAATGAGATTTGTCTGTATTTATTGTGTGTAAAACTCCTGTCTGGGCAGATGGTTTTCACAGGTGTCTGCACTCTTTACATCTCTAATGGAATAAGGCCTTGCACAAGGATGAATTTCACACAGTAAGAATGTGTGAGAAATTCAATTAAATATTCTGAAGTTTGCATTTTTGTGATAGTTGATCTCATACAGGGTAGAGTTAATGAAATATGAGTGTGTTAACAAGAAATGGTGAGAAAATTCATTTTCAGAGTGAGGATGTGGCCAATCCAACCTTGAATGGAGTTGCTTCATGTGCTGAAACTGGGCGGGTCAAAAAGGACATAAAGATTTTTGAAATTCTTTGAAAGGTCTTTTCAGAGACAAACTTTCAGTCACCAGTAGAGGAGGTAGAAGAGCCCGTTTTTTTGAGATGTGGTAATACCCAAGGGCACTTTAACATCAGGGACTTTATTAATTTCCTTTTCAGTATGGTATAAAATTTCCATCCTCTTTTGCTTTCCAATCCATGTTCTATGTGAGCAGCTTTCAGTGCAAATGTTGAGGTCAGTCAAGGTTGCCAGCGTGTGTGTGCTGTTTTATTAACTAAAAAAAAAAGGAAAAAAAAAAAAAAAAAAGGTGTTTCATAGGCTTGGTACCTCATCAGAAGTACAGTTCTAGCCCAGTGACCAAACTTGCACAAGAGTTATGTGAACTAGTGACATTTCCTTACGGTGACTGGTAATAAATTCAGAAAGACAAATTGTCAGGGTATTAAAAATGAGTCTTCACTCTCTACGTTTCTGAAAAGCAGTAGGTTATGAAAGACTTTGATTCTGCCTGTCAGTGAATATAGGATCTGTAGGTCTGAGTAGTCACGACTGTGGTTTGCTTTTCTCAGACTTCTACCCCTTTATATTTTCATGAGCAAATTGTTTGCTGCATAGTAGTCATATTCTGTCAGGAATGAGGCTTTTTTTTTTTCTTAGTAGTAGGTGAAGGATCCTTTTGTACTACTTGCCCAGTATTTACTTGCCCAGATCTGTGAATAATATTTATATATTTTGAATTCTACATATATGACATTTAAACATTATTTTTAGTATATTTAGCTGAAGTCTTTCTTTGGACAGCTATCAGCTCATAAGCCCTTTTATGATACCCCTAAGTATTAAATCTACGTGGTGCTTAAATTCAGTATGTATTCTGCTTTGAACAGTATTCTCTTTGCCTTCAACGTATATCTGCTTGGCTGATTTTTTTCAAAGTGTTTTTAAAGACTCTTTTCCACAAAGTGAAGAACCTCAACAGAAATTATTTTAATGAGATAGACATTTCGTTCAACAGAAGAAGCTTCTTCATGAGAAAAATAAACTAAAAGAATAATTGTGCTTTTTAAAAAGATAATTAAAAACTCTTAGTGTGGTGACAAATTTAACATCTTGTCTGACATGTTGAGAAGACGAAAGTGCCTAGAATTGCACAAGTAGAATAAAATGTTCCATTTCACAGCAAGGCCAAGCCTGAGTCTTGTAATTATTTCAAAGGGAGTAAAGGTCATTTTCTATTTGCTACATCCGTATTATGTGAGGTTTCTGTACCAGGCTTACAGAAGTTAACTCATGACCTATTTAGATTGCCCAGATTTCAAAGTCAACTTACACTGCCACCAATCTGATAAAGTAGACATATTCCCTTCCCCAAGTAATGACATAGATGATGTCCAAAGCTGGCTTTTTATTTATAGCTCTGTAAGACAAGCGTTTCAACTTAAGATGCCAGTAGCTGGGAGATCAGAACATGATTTGCCTCTTGCTTGCTGCGTTAAACCTTTAGGGGAAGAGTTGCTTGTAGTTACATTTCAGCATGTATTGCTTGGGCTATTTTTCTGGTGTGGACTTAGTCTAACTTTGCTTCAGTTGTTGCTTGCATCTTGAGATCGGAAGGATTTTCCTTCTGCTGTGATTGCATTTCTATGCATTTTCATTCAGTAACACCATGAGTCAGAAAGGTACTTTAAAAATGCACCTGTGTACACAGAAAATGGGTGCAGAAAATGTGTGTGTCGGTTTTTCTGTGCATTTAAATGCATATAAGGCTATTTAAAAAAAATAATCAATAATCAAGTTTTATGCACAATTTTGAGGGCGGACTCTGAATGTGTCAGTTCCCGTTGGCAGATGCCTCATAATGGAAGACCGAAGGGGACATGTCCAATTCTCAATCCCTATAGAGTCCAGAAGCTCCAATAAATTCACCGTATCATTGTCAATAACTGAATGAAGGATTAGGCATTGTGTTTTTTAAGCCCTTGTAAGGCAGCAGTTATATGGATCTATGGAAGTGAATAGCAGTCAAATGTATTGCACCTTGCCTGGTGTATTACTTTAAGTCTTTCTTGGTTAATCCTTCAAAGGGACAAACATAGAGCAGGTCAGGAGGGAAGGCAAAGGCATCCATCTGCTGCATTTGACTACCTCCAGCTTAATTGTCGTGAAATATTCTGGCTGTTTCTCACAGTCTGTTAGCACTTCTAGCCAAGCTTTTATAGCAAATGTCAGTGACATGAAACAAATGATCCAGCAGTTGGTTTCAATAAGAAAAACTAATGCAGACCAGGTGGGGTATTGCTGTCTTTGGTTTTTATAAATGGGATCACATAAAACTTAGAGTGAGTGTGAAGTGCATGAAGGGAGAGTAGGAAGTGTATTGCTCTGATCTAGCGAATGGACTGTGAGTGCTGGTTAAGAGGGAAAAATGCAGATATTAAAATTTTGTAGGACAACTCTCTAGGATCAGGATCAGCACACCTAGATGATAAAGTGGTGGAGGTAGAACTGAGAAATATGTGAGATGCTGCTATTGGGTTGGGAAAAGTGAGAGTTCAGTTTGTCACCTGGGCTGGTGAAGGAGAAAGGAGCCTTCAGCATTCACCTGTGTGTTATAGGGGAAAAATTATACAGCTGAAGAGCTTTATTTGCAAAATTGTAATCACATGTTGAGGATTTCTTGAGTAAATAGACCCATTTGTGCAGTACCACTTGAATTTCAGTGTCGATGTCACTCAGAACCCCTGTGTTTGGCCACTATGTGTGCCCCCTCCACTTGATTTTTCTTTGTCCAACAAGCAGTAGATTGGCCGTAACTTTGAGTTCAGGGTACGCTGTACACCAGCTGAAAGTCAGGTTTTGAAAAACACCATTGGAAGTTCTGAAGTAGAAAATACTTTTGAAAATGTGGTTACACATATATAGGTTGAAAAACACAGTTTTGGCTTGTCCTTCTCTTGAACTTGTCTCCTTCTTCCTCTCTCTTTAACCTTTTAAACTTCTTACTATTTTTTTTTTTTTTTTAATTCTTGCTTCTTTCTTGGACTCTTACCCCCATGCTCTCATTTAAAAGCTGCCAAGAAAAATAGCCTTTCATATTGTTGTCTGTATTCAGGGATAGAACACAAACCTTTCCAACCAAGTCTATTTTCTTTCATGCTTCCTCCTTTGCTAAAGGTGTTCCTGTGTGACAGGGAACTCTGACCATGTACTAACAGTGACACAAGCTGTATTCAACTTTAACCTTCAGGTCCACCTCCACTATAGTGTACACATTTCATTTTCAGTCTTCTCTTGATGTAAACAAGCTTTTGATTACAGGGAAAAATGGACAAAATGTGTCTCAGAGTAAAAAAGAAATGGCAACAGTTTACATTTGTTAGCAAAGAAGTTATTTTACAGAGGAAACTTATGTGATGCAAAACTTCATCCTTGAATAAAGAATTCCTTCTGTAACTTGGTGATCTACTTTTGGAAACTCAGTTTGCAGACCCTAATTCATCAATTATTTAAATCAAGTTAAAGTGCTTAATGTAAGCATGCATTTAAGCCTAGCTGTATTCACCTGTGATTTTTTGGAGCAACATCATGTCCTGTTTTCACAAAGACCAGTAATATCCTTTATTGGTAATCTGAACTGAACTTAACCTTCACAGCTACTATTTTGTAATTTTCATGCCAGCCCACATATATAAAAGCAAAAACCTTACATAAAAAATTGTTTAGCAAGATTTGAAGGTGAGGTGTGATGTGATGGATATTTTGTTTTATGAGCGTGGAGCCCAATGTTTTGTTTTATGAGCACTGAGCCTAGACTCAGTATCATTCCCAGAAGCCAACATGATGGATGAATGAGTGGATGTTAAAACTCCATTTCTTTTTTTTTTTTTTCTTCCTCAGGTTCTGCTGCTTGCATGTGCGGAAGATTTAGAATGTGTCCCTGGATTCCAGCAAAAGGTGTTTTATATTGAACAGCCATTTGAATTCACAGAGGACCAGCCAGTTCTGAACCGTATGTTATTTTCATATATTATTATTGTGCCAAAATCAGAATTGCTTATATATTCATATCGCTCCTCCCATTTATCAGAAAGCTGCTTTCTTGTACATAAGATTTTGAATATTGCCATGATTCTGTCTGGGTTCCCCTGCGTTAATCCTATATCTTTACAGTCTTTATCCCATGCATTAGAGATGACAAAATACTGTATATAATCATTTAGGATGATATGAATACTGTGTAAACAAAATAATCTACTTTTTTAAAAAAAGTAAGTTTACTTGGATTTTTTTTTTTATAGTCTTTTCTATAGTTTTGGAATTTAGGGCTTGTCTGTCAACATTTCACTGTTGATTCAGCTCTGCAACTCAGATCTAGAAGCTTATATCTTAGAAGTTTTGTTTACAGCTGGTGCAAGAACAAGTCTTCCCGTGAAATTCAGAGGAGACTGGATGAAGCTTGTGATCATCAGTGCTAGCAAATTGTTACTACACGTGTCATACAACTGGGATATTTGTTAGTATTTCCAATGATCAGATGTCACATAACAAAACCCAATCCAGCGCTGTATACTCAAAGCATTAAGCTGGAAGAGATTTAACTGTCTTTCACACTTAGTGTTCATTCAAATACTGTAGTGCGCAAGTGTTACTACTTCATTCTGTTCTATGGCTTTGGGACTTCAAGACTGTCAAATTAAGGTAGTACTTTATTCAATGGTCAGTGACATTGAAGACTTAAAGATACCAAGTGCTGCCATTTTTGTGACTTCCAAGCATGCCAGCATTTTTACATGTGATATATATTACTAACAGTTTCTTTGTCATGCTTGGTTGCCTGCTGTTAAACCAGGAATTCTAGGTACGCAGCATGAGACAGTAGCGCTTGGCATCTACTTAAAATATCACAGAATGGTTTGGGTTGGAAGGGGCCTTAAAGACCATCTAGACACCTTCCACTAGCCCAGGTTGCCCAAAGTCCCGTCCAACCTGGCCTTGAACCCTGCCAGGGAGGGGGCAGCCACAGCTGCTCTGGGCAACCTCTGCCAGGGCCTCACCCCCCTCACAGGGAAGAATTTTCTCCTTATCTTGTTCCTTGGCTGCTCAGACAGTTTCTCTGTATTCCTCCCAGGTTACCTGTCCTTGCTTCTGCCCTCTGTGGGCTCCTTTTTTGTGTTTGATCTTGTCCAGAAGCAACTTGTTTATCCATGCAGCCTCCTGGTGATTTTGCCTGACTTCTGTTTGTCAGGATGCATCGCTCCTGAATTTGGAGGTGTTCCTTGAATATTAACCAGCTTTCTGGGACCCTTCTTCCTTCTAAATCCTATCTATATTTTTTATCTAGATCCTACATTGTGATAGATAGTGATAGTTTGGTGAAACCAAAAAATGCAAACCCATATTACTCATTAAATGCACACATTTCCCATCTCATTTCCCTCCAGATATTACTACTACATACTGATATACTTTGACTGTTATGCATGTTTGGATGAAGGTGTAATCTGTGCACATTTGTTTGAAAATAGCACTAACTTCTCAAAATGAGATGTCAGAATTAGTTGCCACAGTCTATTGAAATGACTCTCTTAAGTAATTCAGCCTTTAACAGGTGCTAAAATAAACCTTCAGGATAACATTTTTAGTCTAAGCATTTTGATAAATTACTCAGAATTGTATTTTCAGAGGAAATTTAGATCATAAGTAGTAAATGCTATCCACAGAAACGTGAGTTGTTTTTCAGTTTAGAAGGGAGACTTCAAAATTCTGGTTTCTTTAGGCAATTTTGTTTTCTTCTGAAATTCTTATTTTAAAGAGTTGACAAACACATCATTGCTACATGGTTAAAAGTAGAAATTCTTAGAATGTAGAAAGTATAATAGATTTAATAAGCATGCAAAGTTGAAGACCTATGTTAAGAAAAGCAATATTGAGAAGTCTTTATTAAGTTGAATAAAAATAACCTTTTTTATATTCTGAGGCTGTAGTGTGTCTGGCCAGATCTCCTGCTGTTCTTTTCTTGTCCTCCCAAACACCTAAAGGAGGAGTTGGTTAGGCTAAAGTTGTCTGGGCTGCTCTGAGTTGACCCAGCAAATTGCACTGGTGTGAAACTAGCACAATAATTAAGATGCCATCATTAACGTGAGGAGGAGGGAAGAGCAGAAGGAGATTTAGAAATGCCTGGAAACAATCTTGGGAATTAAATTATTGTAATAAGCAGACACTAAATTGGCCTAATATGTAATGTTCGACAAAGGCAGACTGTCGATGCATGATTCTAGTTAATTCAATCACTCGTAAACAGTATGTCCTTCATGCAGCAGCATTAAACCTCTGCACAGTTTCTTCATTTTAGTTGTCAACAGAATTGATATTTTTAATTGTCTGTTTGAATACACTTTGCATGCTCTTGCATCTTTTTATACCCATTACCTAAGTGTGGTGAAATTTAGCAGCTGCATTGCAATGTGAGGCTTGCCAGGGCTATGTAAATTAATAGAGCAAATATGCAAAGCAGGCCTATAGCACTGATTGTTTTCTTAGTCCTCGATAAACCAAGGAGCTCCTTAATTCTTTTCTGAAGTACAATAAGCCAGGATGTTGTGTGGTGGTGTGTTTTTTTTTTTTTCCAATTTAAACAAGGACCTACCTACATTTCATTGTTAGTATCTCCCTCGTAATTAAATGTAGGTTATGAATAGGTTATGAATAGTTCTTATGTATTTGTTACTTCTACATGTGGCCATGCTAATTATATTTTACATTTACTGATGGGACGAAAGAAGAGAAACTACTTATTATTCTGATATTCTTATCAAAGAGTACCTATAAGTTGGCCATAATAATTACATCAGCCCAGTTGTGTATGTATATCTTTCTTCTCATTAGTTTACTGGAATTTTGTTGCTATTTCTCAGCTTTTATCTCATTGTGCTTATGCTGAACTTTGTTCTTTTTTTTTAACTGATTGACCATTGCATCTCACTTAACAGCAACCTCCAGACTCAGACTATTTTCTTAATTTTATTGTTTATTTTTCCTAATTTTGACATTGTTTATGGTCATTAGACCCCTTTATCTCCTTATTTGTGTTTTCTATAACCACAAACAAAAGGCATTGCTCCTACTTTTGGCTTGCCCAGTTCTTTTCCCTACATGCAGTTTTCTTGAGCTACATGTTCCCCCTGATGGTAGTGGGAGAGGATTCGTAGAGTCACTTTCTAGAAATACTAGAGGAGCTCTCCACATAATTATTGCTATAACGTGCGGTTGTTTTCCTGGATTTTTCTTTCTTTATAGTTGGTGGTTTGTGTTTTTTTTTTTTTTTTTTTTTTTTTTTTTTTTTTTTTTTTTTTTTTTAGAGGATCATAAAGATACATTATTGATACTGATAATTGGCAGCATTTAATTACAGGTTTTACACCTTTGTGTAACACTTGTGGCCATGAAATGCTTCGCCATCAGAAAGCTTGTCTTTGGCAGGGCTGATAGGTCACTGGTAGTGCCAAGCTGATAGAAAGTTCCTAATCAGACTCATCAAATGTGGAAATGTAATTGTGTTACATTAATCATGTTTATACTTAACACACATGAGTCTTGGCTTTTGGGGGTATTTTTAATTGACAATGAATCAAATAGTGCACTTGAAAAATTGAGGCAATTAACATAAAGGCGTTAGGTGATCTGTCGTGCATGCTAAACTGGGGAATACATTGCCAGTGATTTAAATGTCAAAACAAAGGAAGTTTTTACCCTTACTTGAAAAGATTTAATTTGGATGTTAATTAATGGCTGACCTCTTCTGTCTCTTACGTGATAGATTGCATGTTTCAGAGCTTGGGCTGCTTCAAGATCAGGGCTTTGTCCGCATTTCGGTACTCTTTTTATTCTGTAGATTTTTAACAAAGACTTTTCTATTTAACCATACCAAAAATCTTTGTTTAATCATATGATGGGAAATATATTAGTCTGCTTATCATTAATGCTGAAAGGTAATTCTGTTGTGTAGCAAAGCCATAGCCTCCAACAAGATTTCCTTTGTTCAAACTGAATAACGCCTGTGGAAAGATCAGAGAAGACCATGTGTGTACATGGGTCACAGTGTCGCTCACGCTCGCATCAAAACATTTTCTACCTAGTCTTAGATGATGCCATGTGAGATTTGTGATTTATCACAACCACTCTTCCCACCGATTACCATGCCATTTGACTGGACAGATGGCCTCTTTCTGTGACTGTTTCATGCTATCAATATTACTGCTGTTACTCTCTTGTTTATTCTGATCCACACAGTGCGTGTTATCACACACACTTGATTCATCTCCCCGTACTTCACTTTTTCTGCAGCTTGTACAGAGCCAACGTGGCAGCCTAATTTAAAATATAATATGGCAAACCCTCTACGAAGTTTTAATACAAGGTTTATATCCTAGTGTTAACTCTTCACGCTAAATATTGTAGTTTTTAGATAATTGGAACAACATGTGGTAGTTGTAGCTTGCAAAAACATGTTCAAGTGAGGTAAGATTTTTGGCTTAGTAATTTCTTGCAGGGAAAGCTGTCTAGACTTTTTGGGTAATAGCTAGATAACTATGGATTTTTTTCACCTGTTCAGGTGTACAGCCCTCTAGTGCGTCCTTATTGAAATGTAGTTGTGGCTTTTCAAAATGCAGAAGTCTTTAATGCATTTTGAATTTTACAAACATCTTAAAATTACTTTCACTTCACATAAATCACTCGCTATGTTAAGAAATGTACTACTTCAGAAAATGTTGAAAAACAACTTGGTTCATGTGTTTGGCATGTGGTAGCAGGTTCTACAGAAATGTGTCTCAACTTTTCTACCCAGATAGCAGAATGCTTTTTATAGTCTAAAATTTATCTTAACATGCACGTACCCATGTATAAAACTTGAATACCAGAGCTTCAATTTTGACACTTGGATACATAATTAAGACCAGGCATCTGGGACTCTGTTATACCATGTGGACAGAAATATTGGTCAGGATTTGA